GCCGGCAGCCCCCGACACAGGCAGGACAAACACTCCCAGCAGCAACCTGTTTCACCTTCATTTATTTTTGTCTATAATTGTGCATTTTTTCCAACCACACCATGTTTCTACAGCATCTTTACACTATCGGCCACCTCATGCTTTAGCAGTTCTGAGTTTCTCCAATTAGCTGCTGGTGTCGCTGTGTGAGCGTCTTGTTCTCTTCCCTACAAACTCAACCAGCTTCCCAGTCGAGTCAGGTGCACGCCACTGGACCTACAAGGAGGGGAAGGTGTCCAACAGACTCACGAAATACAACCAGAGCCCATGCTCACTGTGGAAGTCAAATTCATTCTCAAAGACACTGTTATTTGGTTTAAAATCATAGAATTACGCTCAGGCATTTGCACCTGGATCCCCAGCACTCATATTTGTCAAGGCTCAGAAGAAGTTACAGGTTTGCAAGCTTTAACTGCATTAGCAGTTTTACAGAAATCACATTTACAGTCAGACCCCCACCATTAATTAATATCAGAACTCTGATATTGTGCCAAGCCAGTGAAAAAACTATTAAACCCCCAAGTAAAACCTCTATAGTATTAAACATTTCTTTAAAAAAAGAAAAGATTTGATTACTCAAGAACATGAACAGAGAAAGATCTGAAGCAGGAGTCAGTGCATGACTGACAAAACCCTTGCGTCAAGCAAATTTACAACAATTGAGAGTATACCCTGAAAGAACGGAGGGAGCAGTCAAATCAGAGAGGGCTAGCGGAAGAAGCAGGAGTGACAGATCTAACTCTATGAGGCTATATCGGATTGCTACAGGCCACACACAAACTTAGGTCAACACTCAAAGTAGAAAGTTCCATTTTTTATCCTCCTCACCTGCTCAGGAGGTCGATTGGTCAACATACGGATGAAATGCACTGCTAGATAGAATACTAAAAAAAATAATTCATACAGGAACAAAATTACTCAAAGCTTATCACTTTCTAAGCTTGAACTGAATAGCACTGAGTATGAAATTCTTTAAACATTCATGTGCCAAATGAAGGGACCACAAGCAGCCTGGAGATACTGATGGACCCCAGCACGCAGGGCAGCGTCCCGACCACTCACTTGCTCCGGCTCAGCCTTCATGCGCATCTTGCATGAAGTCAAAAATAAGGCTACTCTGTTTTCGGGTTATGTTTTTGCAGTCTCACTCTCCTGTGAGAGAGCAACTTAATTTAGCACTAAAATGTTTTCTGGAGTCATGGGAGCCACGTGCTGTTGCCACACTTTAAAGCAAGGGAAGGGCAGCAGATGCAGCCGCTGCAGAGCAGTTGTTCCTAGGCCAGGTGAGGTGAGGGCACTTCATTCAGCCGCCACCAGCAGCATTTCTGGCATGGCTGCAGGCCTGCGGGCCCTCCCAGCGCAGGCGTGGGCGGCCCCCCCGGCGCCCCCCGGGAGGAACGAGCCAAACGCTGCCCTGCCCTCCCCGGGCACCCAGCTGAACAGGACTTGCAGCACGGAAGTCCAAAGTTTGTTCCACTCCAGCTCTTGCTCACCCTCTGTATTTACTGGTGACGACTGCTGCCAGGAGCAGCTCAGGCTCCTGCAGCCATACTGCTACAGGGACTGCGTTTCTCAGAAGCTGTCCACTGAGCTCCTCTGCCCACCATTTACAGGGACTGCAGTAAGACGCCAGGCAACACATTTCAAAAGCGTGTTTCCACTGCATGACAGCCGTGTTCTTTCAGACTGTGGGTATCTAGCCGGCTTGGTAAATGCTCTGTTCTACTTTGAGAGCTCAACTCAGGTGTTCCACATGGCCCAAGTTAAGACACTTTTCCTATGTCACACTAGAGAACTTACCACGCTGCTCACTGAGGACACATGTTCTTTCACACGCACCAAACACTACGAACTGTCCCATTTCTGTGAGTCCTTTAAGAGCCAGCCAGAGGTAACAAATCCTATTGTTTGGGGGGTGTTTTGTTTGGTTTGTGGGTTGCTGGGTGTTGTTTTTTTTTTTTCTTTTTTTGGTCTGATTTTTATTTTTATATAAACAACAGGAGAAACAAAAATACTACCATGAAGTCAAGAGTCAAACCAGATTAAAAGACAACAAAAAGAATTCCTAGTTTACTTCACATCTACCTGCTATATCAGTCATATCTTGTAAGGCTGATGATGCTTACACAGTTAAGAGTACTGTTGTATAGAGGAGCACAAGAAAGCCACTTTTAGTCTAAAATTTTTTTTCATCCCCATGTCAAGTTTTAAATTTAAAAAAAAATTATTTTTTTTTTTTAAATTCATTAAAGTCCTGCAGGCAAGACTCTGTCCGTGAATGATCCTCAGGCCTGCAGAGCACAGAACTGCTGAAACACAGCCAGTATGTGGTGGTCCAGTTCAGCTGTAAACAGGAGGTTCTCTAGGGTCACCATGTACTGCTGGATTATCTGGTGATGCTGGCAGATAAAAAACAAAAGACAAACCTTTACTGCTTTCATTTAGGTAAGAACATGTAGAGAAGTCAAGACATGCAAGAATCACAGGTCAAATGTTCTCAGCAGAACCAGTAAGCAGATGTCATTTCCAGAGGGCACAACCACTGACAAGAAAAGCACAGAGCTCCAGGGTCACCCCTGGACCCCAAGCTGTGTGCAGGACACCACGCCACTGCACGTAAACCCTGGGAGAATCATGGGGTTTGCTTTCCTCTGAGCCATATCTACCCCAGGGGAGAATTACACCACCACACCCACTCCCCAACCTATCACCTGTTCACACAGGTATAACTTTCTATTACTATCACTTTTATCCAGCCACCTGTGCTTGTTATCTGATTTAATGAGCTAATAATTAAAAAAATATTTTTAATAGATACGTACGCATCTCATTAAAAGGAATCCTGCAACATTTTAATGTCCTCATTTAAGAGATAGCGACTTTAGTATTCTCACTCCCTCACAACTTTGTTTTTATTTAACACAAAGATAAGAGGAGCTCAGAGAAATTCATAATGACATCTCAGTATCTTTTTTGCAACGTGCTCACAGCGTGGGAGTTATCAGGGACCAGTCACTCCACCCCTCTGTGGCAACACATGTGGCCAGAACCAGAGTGACTACCTAGCCCCACACTAGCCTTCAGAGAAGGCCTGCTGCTGCCACCTGCTGCTGCTCTCCAGCCACAGAGCCCGTCTGCCCGGCACGGCCCTCAGACACCTACCTGCAGGAAGATCTGCTGCAGCCTCTCTATGCAGCTCTTGTACCAAGGTGTAAATACATCAATTCCACCCGTCTCACAGCGCACTAAGTGCTCAGTTAACAACATAATGAAACGCTGCAGGAGAGGAAAAAAAAACAGCAAACCAGACTTACTCAGCCTCACCAAATGAAAGCAGGATCCTAACCTCGGGTAAGAGGATCTTGGGGGACGGAAGCTTTGAACAGCAATGCGAGAAGGATCGTTTTGCTTGGCAAACACTGAATTTAGTTAGCAAATACAACCCAGTTACCTGCACTGTTCAGGAAACTGTATGCTAGCACAACTCTGCTGTTCCTTAGCACACTCAAAACTAACAAATCCTGACCAGGGGCAATCTCTGCAGGCAGGTGATCTGGACTGACTCTAACCCACAGTAAGCCCATCAGTCCCTTCTCATACTCTCATTCCAACAAGATGCCCAAGATACAACCAGCACTGAAAGCTTATAAATGCAGTAGCTGTAAAACCCGAAAGTGAGAAGCCACTCTGGCCACCGTTACCTGGAATATGACGAGGAAGAGATTCTTCTGCTCGCTCTGGGCCGACTCCACCTTCTCCTGCAGGCGCTCTATCTGCTCCTCCAGCGGCCCGTCCTCCCGGTCGCTGCTGCGGTCGTCGTCGTCATCGTCGTCGTCGCTGTCCCGCTGCGGGCGACAACACCACAGGAAAACTGGCCACCTGGTTCCTGGGGCACTGCCCATGCCCCCCGCTTCCACGGGGGAAGCCGTCTGCACAGCAACGCCGCTGAAGCTGCTCTCCAGCTCGCTGAGTGTTGTACTTTGAAGGACAACTATTTTGAATGTAACTCAGGACAGAAATTTAGAAGGAAAAATGCCAATATGGGAAAGCCCCAACAAAGAAATTGTCAAGATTTCAGAGCAAATAGTACAAGCTTAAAGATTTACCAGCCCTTTATTTAGTGGAAACACAGTAAAAGGTAATATCCTTGCTGTCTTCACCATCACTAGATAATGTAACAGCTTTTTTTTTTTAAAAAATCCAGCGTAAAATTAAAAAACCGTGTCTATGGCAGCAGAGCAGGTAATTAATTCCATGAACAGTTCTGAAATCTCAGCGCTCCAAAAAATTAAGCACTTTGTGCAAGAACTCAGATGAATCTGGCTGGCTAGCACAGAAGGAAGATCAGAGATGGTAGCCTGTGGTAATAAAGTGGGGACCTCCTATACTGAAGAGCAAAGGGATGGTCTTGGACTAGAAAGGGTCAACAAGGGAACCAAGCCACCAAACAGGAATGCAGCAGGTTCTCATTGCCTCAGAAACAAAACAACAACAAACCCCCACAAAACACATGTTAAGCACCACACCTGGGAGCTCAGGTAACAGAGTCTTACACAAGACTACAAGGGAGATAGGAGGAAAGGCAGAATCTGATGGATTATGGTCTATTCAAGTACAGATATTACTTCAGTCATTCAGGATTGTTTCTGTGCAGAAACACCCATAAATTAACAGCTCAAAACATAAATATTTGTAAAAGGAGCATGTACAGCTTGTGACAGATACAGGTCCACGTGTTAACTCACCTACTGCACAGGAAATAAAACTCACTATCAGAAGACGGAATGAGTGTAAAAAATAAGAATGATTTACCATAGAGAACAAATGAGAATTGATTTTATTTTGTCTATTGGAACTTGCTTTTTCCCCATCTAGAGGTTTCCTGAACTCAAACTGCTGAAGGACCAATAGGACCTAAGACAAAGCATGTAAGCCTTGGACTCATTCCATAGCAAGGCAACCCACTTTGTGCTGGGGACACCAAAACCTGATGGCTTACTTCCTCTAAAAGGAATGGTCATGCAGCAGAGCAACAGCCTGCAGAACTACTCACTGTTGCATACAAATATTTCTTCCTGGCACAAGACTCATTTAAAGTGCTCAGTAATCAAGAGCTGCAGCAAGAGGCAAGTACAGGAATGAAAATACTGGTATGTTGTTTAGAGATGCCAGAGAAGCTCTTTGCCTCACAGTAAGATCAACGGCTGCATCTAGACCTTCAATAACCATGGGCATTTATTAACTGCTGATCAACGTAGACAGAGGACGCAACCAACTAGGATGGCTGTTGCTGGGAGTGAGGAAACAAGATGAAGGGGCTGGGATGAACCAACACTGGCAAACTCTGAAGTATTCATGATCTCTCAACAGAAACTTCTGGAAAAATTACTGACTTGTGTAGATTTCTTCAGAAACCGTCAGCAGCCTCTGTGCCATGTGCCAAATTCTGATGTTAACTTCATCCACAGCTGTGGAGCTAGCTACCTGTTCTATGTAGGTAATCATACCCACAGACTACACACAAGCATTCTCTCTTGCTCTCAGCAAGTCTGTAAACTGACTTCATTCTATCATGACTAAGTACTGCATTCAGCCAAGCCTCCCTGGGCCCTGTCTTCAGCAGCTGCCAGAGGAGACACTCTCTCACCCTGTTTTACTGTCCTACACGGGACAACAGAGCACAACAGCAGCTCCGTGCTCCTCGGTTTGTTGTATACAGTAACCCAGATCACACAAAGATATTCAGTAAAGAAAGCTGGAAGAAAGAAATGACAGTTGCCAGTGTCAGAATCCAGCAGCATCCATCAGAAGAACGGTAACAGCCAACTTCTCAATAGCAAATAGCTGTTTCCGTGCACTTCTGCATGGAAGCCACGAGAGTACTCTTTAATGCTACTTACTATGAATAATTTGTAACTCTTCTTATCGTTATCTGATAAGGTAATTGCAATCCAGATTAGAAGGCAAGTGGAAGACATGCTCGTATTGGAAAAGAAACTTGAGAAAGCCTGAACAAAGCAAATATATATGCATTCCCTTAAGGATTTTACTGCATTCTTAGGTTATAGCTGCCAGCAGAAAGGTGTACAGAGAACATGCATCCAGTTCTTCACGTCTCAGTGCTACCAATGACCATATGTCTCCTGATAGACATTTATTCAGTGCCTCCTAAAATCAGCTGTGCCTCAGCATGACAGCATGCAGGTTTGTTCAACTTTGTTTAAAATAATTAAAATCACAAATTACTCACTCTTTTGTGCTGCCTGGCCAGTCTTGCCTTAGTCTCCTCCAGTTCTTTGTGAATCTTCAGCACATGCTTATTCATCTTACGAATTGTGGAATGTAAGATCTCCCAGATGTAAAACCTAGGAAAGACACAAAGCTCAAAACCCTACATTACACACTACTCCAAGACAGAAAACAAAGTGTAGCTTCTTACAGAAAAATGTATCTGGAGGAATTAAAAAAACTTAGTATTACCTAAGACATCTGCCACAGTGAGCAAACACTCAATATACAGAAAAGCAAATCGATACTGTAAGAAAGCTTAACAATAATTTCTTTCCTACTTTTTGCAGCAAACTTCCAAACCAGCATTCTATTTCCTACACAGACTGCAATACTACCAACATGACACTGACTTCTCAGACCACACACCTCTCCCACTCTCAGTAAGCAACGTATCAATGGCTGCGCAAGTTACATACCTCAACCCAAGCCCAGGACTAGCAGCTACATAACACACAGCAACAGGCTTCATCTCGAAATAGTTCCAGTGTCTTCCTGCTTGGGCAGACTTATAGACTACTTCCAAAATAACACGCTAGCAACACTCTTGCACTGTCACCTAAACATTCATGACCCAGTTCAGAATGCTAAAGTACATATTTCATGGAAGGAGCAAAAGTCCCGCTGTACCTTTTCTTCCACTACTCAGTTTTCATAGTTTAAACTGTGTACTGGCCACCTAAAATAGCAATTCAGAGTCAAATAACAAACCATGGCAAATCCTTGTTACCTAGTGAAATCATGTGCAAGCTCTGACGAGAAGATCCAGTTTGCTACTGCAGCGCAGTCAACAATTTGTGTCCGAATCATCTTGTCCACGAGCACAGCAATCATCTATATTTTGTGAAAGATATTGCACACACAATCTCAGTAAAGTATTCCAGACTCAGATAAAAGCAGAGATGGTTTGATGCCATGCTGCATCAGTGACATTAGTGGGTAATTTCAAGTACTTTAGGAAGCTGGGTAGTCCAGCCTAAACATGCTCAAATTAGGGGATCTATACCAATTATATGAAGCATTCAAATTTTAACAACCTTTCCTACTTCTGAGTGATGTGTCACTCTTTGTTAATGTACATACTTCCATACAAAACAACAAAACGAAGCACTGTAGTTGGAAGTGGGGCCTTAGAAACAGAAGTCATAGATTTTGACATCAAAGGACTCAATGCAGAGTATAACTGTCTGTCAGATGACCCTAATGAAGTCGCCACTGTTAAACTACTCGCCTTGAACTACCACAGTGACAGCAAGTTCTCCTCTACAGCACCCACTGGTCAGCACAGAGCCAGCACTGTGTGGTCAATGGAAGCATGTACTACTGCAGGCACTGCCCTGATTCCAGAGGGTTTGTGAGCAACCCACCAGGCAACTGCAGAGAAGAGTTACTGACTAACATAGTTGCAAGCTGTTCAGAAAAAAGGCTTATCTCAGTTACGCACGTGATTTGAGTCCCACAGTCTTTAAGAACCACAGGCTGCACCGTATTTATCCTTACAACCACCCATTGTCAAATAAGGAAGTGCAACAAAGTTCCTTTTAAGGAAGGAAAATTAAAATAACTGAATGAATCATACAGTAGACTCAGCACTCAACTTTCAAGTCCTGGGGTAGTATCCTATGGTCTACTTATTCTTCCTGACAATACAAATGACTTCTGATTAGTTACTCTGATCTTCCAAAATCCACAGATCTAGGATTTTGAGAGAACATTTCATCTCAACATTTAAGTTTCTCTTCATGAAGTCACTCGCACAACTTTGTTATAGGTCCAGGACCTGCTGACTCCTTCTGCTAAATCACTATCTGCAGCACAAATTGCTCATTAGCATCATATGTCTTGCAAATACTGTGGGCAGCCAGAAGCACATCAAAGGACATTCCCATAGACATGGGAGTAGGGTGAGTGGCATGAAGGCTGGCTCTGGGTAGGTGTCCTGCTGCCCAGGCACCATTATTCTGTATGCCAGGGAGGTTGTGGACTCAGGGGAAAAACAAGACAAAACAAAAAAAGTGCTTGACCAAAAGCAAATGGCTGAACTGTAATAAATGCGAGAGGAAAATTTAAGGTGGAACAGCAGACCTTCATAACGTCTACACTCTAGTTTTTAAAGGTATCTTGCTTTATTCATAAAAATCTAACATGAGTATTCAGTATTTTTGAAACATCATCTCAGTTTGGTCATGCTGCAATATGAAGGCATGAACAGGAAGAGGATACAGGTACTACATTGCAGTAATGTAATTTCTTCTGATCCAGTTAAATGGCAGTAAAAAGTAGGTCAGACTGTAATTGTCATATTTTCAAGGTCAGTGATTTGGGTGGGAAGTTTAATACATTTTAAAAGTCCTGCTTTTTTTTTTTTTATTTTACTGTACTTAGAAGTGACATCTTGCATAGGTATCTTCTAGGTGCTGTTTTTTCCCCTAGGGAATGGACCACAGGTCCAGCAGTAGGTGCGAGGATTAGCCCTTGCTCTCAGCAGACCTGCTTCTGGAAGCCTGGCCTATGCAGCTGTGAGGTACTGCCCACTTTCAAGCACAATCAAGTTCAACACAAACACACTAGTAAAGAACTCAAGAAATAATTAATGCAGGCAAATTCAGTTTGAGTTTCTTATCACTTTCTATTTATAGAAGAATGACAGCTGAGGGGAAAAACAACTGCTGTGAAGAAACTGAACAGCTTAAACAACTGAGGCATTTTTCAAAGGTCTTTTAGGGTGCCATTTCTTCTGGCTCAAGAATGAACATAATTATGACACTGTCTGACTGTTCTCTTCTAAACAGCCACTAACTGCAGCTCTGCTCACCCAGACCACACACAACAGTGACCCCAAGATGAGCTTAGTGGAATAACTGTATGGCTTTCACCAGGAACTGGGAAAAAAAAAAATCCCTAACTCCCCTCCCCCAGGTTTCCACACTTACGAGTACTGCCTGCTTCTGATGTGCAAACTGAAATAAGGTGTAGATCTCATATCTACACTGTTCTCCAATTCTACAGAAACATGATTTTAGTGGAACTTGTTCTCCTGTGCAACAAACAGCATAGTATGAATCTGCGTCAGAATGACAGCCTTTGCCCTCTCACAATGAACTCTGAGGAAGAAATGGCCTCACTGATGGACATTTTAGTGTCCAGCCTTAATTTTAAGCACTAGTAACAACTGTAAATACAATTCTTTCAAATAAGATGACAGAAAAGTTATTTTGAAGGATACAAAGTAAATGGCAATGTTTTTTATTATACATGACCTCTGGGAGTTCAAACTCACAAAGATACTTGACATTGCAACCTCTCACCTGTGGATGATTCTTCCAAACCTCATACACAACCCTCAGAACATGGAGTTTCCCCTCATCACTTTCCGCAAGCGTTTTGAAGACTTCGTGAAACCTTTTAATAGATATAAGTAGTCAGTGGAGGCGTTGGGGTCAGGTCAAAAGCGCAGCAGATACAAGGCAAGTGGCTTAGATTAGCCAAAAGAAAATTTTTGACTATCTGTAGCAATTCTCGAACAACCATCCCCTGGAAAATATAACCATTCTGAGCTAAAATAAGCTACAAAGACATGACAGCTCCTAAGAGCAACCCGTTACTTAGTGGTGAACCTACTCCCTGATGCTGGGCTACATTTCTCATACTCTTAAAAGCAGGAGGCACTTCCACGCTTCATGTGCTTATCTAAGCACAGCTGGAGCTAAACTTGCTTCCTCTTGATACATGTTTCTGCAACTTTAAACACTTGCCCAATCTGCCCCTTTTTGAAGGAAATGCTTATAAAAGCCTTATTTTTAACAGAGTTACACTGGCTGCTACACAGCACTCCCGATTCAGCTTACTGCAATACAACTATAAAGCCTAAGAGACTCTTTTTGATCTCATGGCTGCCACTGTTGGTGTGCAGCAGTGAAAATATCATGGCTCTAAGTATTCATGTCACCTTGCCTCTTGTACCACTGACTGCAGGTTACTACCTACAGCCTCTTATCAGCATCATGCCTATAAACCTCCCAGGTGCGTGTTTTTCTAACAGCTTTATGTGTCTCTAAGGACAGACAGAAAAATAATTAATTAAGATGCATGTGACTACCTTTCATGTATCAAGACCACTTAAGAGCAACTCCAAAGCACGGGCGATTAAAACCTAGCTTTACCTTGTTTTGCCTAAAAAGGTGCAGTAAATTCTTCAGAAGTTTAAGCACATCTTTAAGGGATGCACTGTGAAGTATTTCAGACCAGATTTTGTTCTGCTTTGGTAGATAGAAGAAGTTTACAGCAGACTGCTTTGAAGTTCAATGCTGTCTTTTTATTTCTTCATTTTTCTGTACAGACATAACTGTTCTAGACACATCCCTAGTGTAAGATGCTGAGGTGGGAGCTACCCAGTTGTTGAAATGTATGGAGAAACCCTTGTTCCTCACCGTAACCAGCAAATGAGTAATTCTGAAGAGCAGCAATGTTCCACACCTGCCTCATTTGTTTGATTTACATCAGGTGGATGTAACGCATGCATTTTTGTTAATTCCATTCACATATATAACCTACAGTTCACACTGCCATTCCTTCAGTAAGCAGTGTCATCAGTTCTCCTAATCATATTGTATTGTGTACCACATAAACTTGCAGTCCAGTTCATTTATAATGCATTTCACTGTTGGAATTAAACAGTTCCATAAGCCCCAAAATAAAGCACATATTACACTTACTTTGCCAGAGCACTGAAGGAGTGGCTGAAAGACTTTGCAGCTAGATGGAGCAGAGTCTGAACAAAGACTTCTATTTTCAGAGGGTTGAAGGTAAATCCTTCATCTGCAAGTTATTTAAAGTTGAAGCTGTAAGTACTTCAAGTAAAGCATGTAAGCTACTCATAAAACTTCAGAGATAACTTACGGGTTTAACCCATTTCACAAAAAGAGTTTCACCAGAAGGGTTTTGCAAGGCTGAGCAGGGAACTAGTAAAGAATTTCCAAAATGTGCAGATCTTCAGGCTGCCATTTTGCCACACAGAAAAAGTGCAGAGAGAATTCCAGGTCAGCAAAGAAGCTGTGAAGAGAGACAGCCACCCTACCCACATGTAAGAGCACTGATGCAGCTGCCTGCAGCTGAAGAGAGGCTGGGGGGAGCACTGATTAGTGGGTGATACCTAAAGCAAACCAGGAAATACAACACTGGATCCCAGCACAAAAACACCCAGACAGTTGCTGCTCTCTGCCTGCACAACAGAGCACTTGCAAATATTACAGAAACACTGAACCTGTCCCCATTGCAAAGATCACTTTTTAATTCACTGCCTTGCACTCCTCCTCACTCCCTAAACCACACAGGCTTTAGGAATCAATGTTGCTTTTTTAGCTTGGTGCAAAGCTAAAAAGAACATGAGCAGAGTCCCATCATGAGCTTGTATCTATGGAAGAGTAGAGCCAGCAGTCTTGCCATCTTATCCGTTGTGGGACTGCACCGAGCCGAGGGACAAGGGCTGAATGCCAGGGACGAGGGTAACAGCATGAACTGCCCTCTGTTGTTGAAGGCAAAGGAGATGTTAAATTGATGCTACCTTTGTCAATAATCACAGGAAAACACATTTCATGTACCAGGTTACTGCTGTTATGAAAAACAGGCTTGCCTGTTCATGCAAGATATTTACAAAATTCCCCAACAATGGTGTATATTATTTGCATTTACTGATAAACTGAAAACAATTATTAGAAGCAGAAGCACACAGTTCTGTTCACCACCCCACTCACAGCTCCAAATGGCAGATCAGTACACAAAGAAGAAACTACAGCCTGTGTATCTTACCATCATCATCATCCTGGTTTGGATTAGGCACATCTTTTAAAATGCCGAAGATTTCATCATTACTGGCCTTATTTTTAATTGCAATTGTTAAACAGAGTGCCACAGTATATCCCGGAAGAGACCCTAAAAAAAGCAAAGAGGTAAAAAATACGCAGAAGGCAAGTGAGTACTTTTAACACCAGTTTGCCTCTCAGAGAAACAAGTACACTTCCCAGTACTAAAACTAGCTTTGTCCTTTATCTTTGTCCCCGTCACTGTTCCATGAAACTGCTGAACACATTTCCTGATCTTCACATTAAATTCAAAACTTGCAGTAGAACCTTCACATTATCTGAGGTCAGATAATCACTCTCCTGTCTAAAGTTCTACATCAGCTTCCACCAGTTTCCTAAAAATACAGTACTTCCTTGTTTTTCTTTACTGTATCTTTGATGACAATACTTCTATCCTGAGGACTGTCTTTACAACGAGTAGTAAAAGACCTCTGTATGCTTCATTAAACCAAGTTTACTAGTAAAATCTTCTACTGTTTCATGAAGTACAAAAAATAAACTCACATTATCACTTCATATGCTGAGTTTTGCACAGTACTGTGCCCAAACAGGGGAAATAGATGAATTTTCCAATTTTAGACTTCTGGCAAACAATGCTGCACAACACCACAACCACCTCAGCAAGAGTAACTTCACGTATCTGCATTTTCTTTTCTTCATAAAGTAACAAAGAGGATTACATTACAGAGATCCAGGCTTAATAAATATTATTTGTTCATGTGAAGCATATTTACCCACATGAAAATCATACATATTTATTTCAGCTTGTACTCTTCTTTATGAAGACAACTGATATTACAGTCAACCTAGGGTGCTCCCTTGCTCTGAAACACTGTTTTCTGCAGCTTGACCCCCCAGTAACTTTGGTACTTACTGTTACTCTCATCTCCGTATTTGTACACGCACACCGGATTAGCAGGACTGAGGACAGAAAAACTTGCAGGAACGATGTCTATTATTCGCTGATGGTAGGACAGTCTGGAAATAACAAGTTTCACAGCAGCAGCATTAAAATGGGAATAACACCAGGACTCATTTTTAAGAGACTGCTTTATAATTTTTTTTTTTTTTTTTTCTGTATTTAACTGTCACAGAATAAAAATTGGAATGTTTATACAACAGAATGGTAGTTTCTGGTGGGTACTAAGAGCAATGTAGACCAAACTTAATCAGTGGATGCTTCCTATATGGATTCCATGATGCTTGAGTTTCATCCTCACACAATCAATTTAGCATGTGAAAATATAGACGCTGCCTGGTAGGATGTTTTATGCCCAAGATGAGATACTAATAAGATGTTCACACTGAAAGCAGAAAAAAACATTAAACTGGATGTCTTCATTTTACTTTCCAGCTTATTGCACTCCCACAAAGGCTTTACTTTTGCTATTGGTTTTCAGTGGAATGAAAAAGTGTCACAGGAAAATGTGTACTTGTTTTGCAGCACAATACTTTAATGTTTTCTATACTGAATTCACCCCAAATCAGATGCATGTTTTCATGTATGAAGATGAGTAACAGACTTTTGGAACATTTTTCTCTTCTAATCTCCTACATTCCTTTATCTCTGCATTTTAAGTCCAGCCCTGGTTGTGTGCTCTTGTTGTTGGGTTTGGGGGTTTTGTTGGTAGGGTACTTTGTTTAAAGGTCGATGAATGTCAGAGGCTTCTAGAAGAACCAAGATTAGATCCCCAGTTTTTAGTGTAACTAGTGATCAGTTCCAGCCATTTCTGTGGATGCTGAATACTTTCCAGGAAAATCACCTAAACTCTATTTTTTTCCATGTCTATGGCAAAGCATGTCTTTTTGTAACTACAGGTCTGCATACCTGGGAAAGGCAGCTCACTACCATCTGCTCCACTTGTTTCTCTCCCTCTCTTAAGTAGTGTCTCAAGTGTCCTACAGCAGGTAAATCAGATTAAAATCCTACAGACTCATCTGTTAACTGAAACTGAATGGTAAGAATAGATGTGCCTAAGATGAGATTCAAGTTAAAAGGAATCTGACAGTATCCAGAAAGAAAGATCAAACTTTGCCTTGAATGCAACAATCAAAAGATCTTACTTACCGCATGCACTTTTCCAAAACTTCTCTCACAAATTTGGGTTTGGGCTTTTCAAGGTCCTGAGTAAGACAATCTGACCTATGAAAGGACAGAATGCAATAGTTTTTAGAGAAAAACAAACAAAACCAAACAGTGCTTTAGTCTCTTTTTGGCTTGGTCTCATAGGTACAAAACAATCATGGTCTAAGGGCAACGGCTTGGCACTTTTTTACAGTGTAGGCAGTTTTAAGGCAATAAGCTAAGTTTATCAATATTTCCTTATTGGCCATTAGCATTCTTCAAATCTCATCTCTGTGCAATGCATTTTCCAGTAGCTTCCCTTCCCCCACTAGATTAAAAATAATTTGTGCTTACAGTTATCTGGCTTTCCCTTTCCTTAGGAAAGGAATCTCGTGTGGTTTCATACTCTGTCCCTCTCTTAAAGGAATTTTTGAACTTCTGGCTGATTCAAATGCATTTCAGATAAAGAAAAGTCTCAAATACAGTAATTTGTGAAAAATGGCAGTTTGTGAGAGAGACCCACAGACACAATGCCATCAAGGAACATCCAGGCAAAAAAAAAAAAAAAAAAAAACAACTCTTTGAAGATTATTGCCTGGTCAGTCAACATGGACGTATACTAGGCAGCCATCAAGCACTTAAAACCCTATGAGGACAACACAAGAAACTTAAGTAAAGGCAGAAAAGCATATCACAAGAAGGGCTGCACCCCTCTCCACTAGGACACTTGGGCAGATCAGCTACAGAAAGCATGCATGGTAGCAGGCTGTGGAAGTTACTGTAGGGAGGACTTAACCCCAGGGGATCTCTCCTGCCACATGGGCACTCAGAGTGGAAAGCTCAGGGGAACCTCTAGTTAAACTGATGGAGTCCAGAGAGCTCCTGCTAGAGATACGAGCTCAGGACTTGGCATGGAAAGAACAAATGTCAGGGCCAGCACTGATGCAACTTCAGGTGCCAGGATTTGGCAGGAGGGGAACAGATCACAAAGGTCTCAGGGATAAAGGTTATAATGAAAGGTTTAGGGCAAGACAGAGAGCAAGATTACAAAATAAATACATGAGACAGAGTCAGGGTAAACCCTGAAAAGTAAATTGGAGGGTAATTTTGGGCAATTTGCCAGCAACCGACTGAGGTTGCAAAACAAATTAAGGAAATCATGTTTCTATCTCCCCTGTTTGGGGAACGCTTACACTGGCTTGAGATTCATCACAAAGTTCACCAGGGACAACACAGTGACTGAAGAGATTACGAAGATAATCTACCACTGACTGGTGGTGAACGGATTACGGCGGATCTCGGGAGAGCTGGAGGAAAGCAACTAGCATGGCCACTATGCTGCAGCACTCCTGGCGAGGCAGAACTTTAAAGGCTTCTGCAATATCAGGGTTGAATTAAGAGAAACTTACCAATCCTCCCAGCTCCAACGGAACTGAAAGTTGCTCAAGTGGTGAGAAAACCAGTTAATGAATCTTTATTAAAAGAAAAAGAAAGCTTCATTAAATGTCAGAAGTGCAGGCAAACTTTTAATTGAGATTTTCTTACAAAAGCATTCTACTTTTCAAAGGCAAGCCTAAACTCTACAGCTCTTAGAGCATTAAAGAGGCATTTATGTTAACAAAGTCAAAGACTAAACAGAAAACTTCAGAAAAGACTCCAAAAAGACTTCTTTCTTCAGAAAGAAGTTTTTATGGGGAAATAAGTCTGTCAAATTATGTTGTTTCATACAGAGATGACCTATTAAACTAACAATTAAAATGTAAACTTACTGTGAGTATGCATCTTTAACATTTTTTAAGAGTAATTTCAGCTCTCCTGCACAATGCAGACTTCACTCAAAGGGCAAAATCACCACCACTCTCCTCCTCTAGGTGGCAGATACGCCATTAGCTCCAGTGCCAGGTGCCTCCCAGACCACTAGAGAGCAGGCGTAGTACTAGGCAGAGTACTCTGCAGCTACAAGCAGCTCTGGGCACAGAAAAGCTGTCACCAGTTTCAACTGTCCTGTACAGACAGAAAGACTCGTAACCTCTGGAGGAGCGCCTCTGTGAAGGAGAGGCAAGCACCCAGCCCTCTACTTTCTCTTTAGACTGCTCAAAACTAGAGCCCAGAGAATGTTTTGAATAGCACCAAGAAGTTCTAACAAGGATTTCCGACCCCTCTTTCCACAGCCTCTTCGTTATTCCTGTACACTGAATATTGAGGAACATTTTCCATTATCCCTGAAATATATTTACCTGTCCACACATGTTGTATTCATTGTATCCAACCGCATGTAGAGCATTTCTGTGGCTTGTGCAAGCTGTAAGACTCTTATTAAGGTTTACAGAAAAGTACTGTGTAAGTCAGATGTTATTCCTTTCAGTTTTTAAGTATAATGTCCTCTGCTTTCTTTACTGAAAGCTTCCTTGGCCTACTGCAAAATCAGGTAAATCACAGTAAATCTACAGTGGGATAAATGGAGCACATTTAAGTTCTACCCTCTAATCCCACTCATGTTTTGTTTTGTCTTGTTTTCCCCCATTATTGCAATAAGACTGCTGGCTTCTTCCACAGAAAGCCAGGATTCACATTGTGCAGCACACAAAACCACGCTGAAACGAAGGGACACCAACCTCCTCATTAAGCACTTCGGTGATCTCACCTGTCTAAACTTCATGCGCTGCTTCTGGTGCTTGTACACCATCTTTGATCATAACTGAAGGCTTCAGAAACTATCTCTACATTGACTTTACCCAACAAGGCCCTTATCCTTCTTACTTCTTACATTGTCCCTACCAATGTTACAAACCTTCTGCATGGATGTCCACCCAATTCTTGAAACAGAACTGGCTCTTACCACTGAGAGTATGTAATTTGCAAACAGTGAATGGTATCTTGAAGCAGAATGAAAATTTGGACAGGAGATGACCAGTGGATAGATATTATTAAGCATCCTCCATTCTCAGTCTGTAGATTGATCTGAACCAACTAGCTAACATGATCTAAACTGGCAGGAAAGTATGACAATAGAAAGAGCCAGAACTAGCTGGGAGTCACGTCTCCTTCCTCAACATCTAGCCACCCTGTCTGAGCTGAGAGATGATTATTGACCTTTCCAATGGTCCTAGTGGGAACACTGAGTGGGAAATCAGGAAAGTTCCTTTGAATCATCTGCTACGCTTCCTACTAAAAAGATGAAATCTGTCACTTCCTTTCCTCCTCAGCCTGTTATGTACCTGTGAACTTGCTGAACACCATCCAGAACTAAACAGGCTGCAGGGACAAACAGAGTGTTACATTCTGTCTCCTCACCAAGACAGCACTTCTTGGGAAGGTCAGCAGAGGTACCAGAACGTTGTTCAGAAAGCCATAAAAATGACCTGGCATATCTAGACCTGTGCTAAGTGGGCTGTGGTACTCCTTCATGTGAATGTTTCAGGAAAAGTTTCATGCAACTGCTGTAAAATATTAATGCTGCCAGTATTCACCTACAGAACAAACAAAATAAAAACTCATTTATAAATTCTCTCCAGCAGCGTGGAAAGGATACAACTTGTGGTAAAGAGCCAGGCTGAAGTTTGCAGAGTTCAATCAGGAGCGTTGTGTACATGACTTCAATGTGTGGTGGAGATGGCAGTTGAAACAATTCTGCAAATATCACCTGTGGGAGAGGAAGGGACAGAATCAGAGCAGAGTCCAACAGGGCCTGAAAAACCCTCAGCTTTGTGATAGTGGCCTTCAACCTTGAACAATTACACACCCAAAACCAGTCTGTATTATTCTGCACATTATCTGTCATAGGCATGTTCCAGGAAAAAGAGTGATCAACTTATAAAGGTAGTGGTAACCCTACACTGTATAGTCCCCTCTAACTGCCCTTATAATTTCATACTGACACAACACCAGCATTATACACCTATTGTGTCCAACAAGTACAGGATGTAACTCTAGAAAGGGGCAATTATAATGACCTACTGCAACACTAGCACAAGATCTAAGTGGAAATCATCTGATCCAGTTAAACAACAAAAATATATGCCCAGCATACCTTGGCAGAGAGAGCCTTCTAAGAAAACAGGAAACAATACTGCAGTCAGCAGTCATGTTTTTATTTTCAAGTTTGCCTATAATAGCATGTCAATCTTTGAGGGCTACAAAAAGATTATCATCTTACAACATTCACCTCTCAGTTTGTTTATTTTGCATGTCATTCTCAACTAGATCTAAATGACATCAAAGGAACCAGCAAACTTATGAGGACACTGATGATTTGAGTGTCTGAACTCTGGGTAGTGCAAGCTTTACCAAAAGCTGTAGGAGCCCAACAGAGTCAGGAGTCCAACAAGCCAACAACACTGCCAAGTTCTGTTCACAGCAACCAGAAATACTCACAGGTGTCTATAAGCAGCTACAGAGAGAAAGATGCCACATTTCAGTGTCTTGCACAGATTCCAGGTAGCACGTGGTGTTCTGTGCTCGGCTTGACAAATTATGGCATGGAGTCTTAGGGACCTCAAAAGTAGGCATGCCTGGGAAGGTACTGACCACCACTTTCAGGATACTTTCACTTCTGCCTATTACATTCTGAACCTTAAATAACCCTTTCCTTTGTTTGTTAGACCATGTTATTTCCACGGTTCTGTGACTTATTGAAAAAGTTAGTGAAATTCCACAGATTCATCTGTTGAACTGCTCTTGAAAGCAACGTATTGCCAGCTTGACTTTTGAGAGAGACGCTGCAGGGGAGCAGTAGTAAGCAGAAGGAACAGAAGCCTGAAAAGAGCATCCTAAACTTTAAAACCTCTGGAGCTTCATTAAAAGTAAGCAGTACTAGGCAAATAAAGACGTTAATATTCTCAACTCAAAATTGCAAGAAAACAAAATTATTACAGTAACAGTCCAAGGACTAGTATACTAATCTTGTAGTCCTTCCAGCAATTTAATCTATGAAAATCTGTGCTATTTTCACATCCTACAAGTTTCTGAATAAAAGAATTTCAAGGGCTTTCAGGTAACTTCTTTCACCAGGAATTGAAGTAATTATTTCTGGCATTAGTGTACAGCTAAGCATAAAGCACAGAGCCATATACAGCACCTGAACATACTGAAGATAGAGACCACTGAAGACGGGTCAATGTAAAGGCAGAAAACTGTTAATTTTAAGATTCCTCTGTTCTGAACTCAGACTACAAAAAGAACAAGCTGACCAAAAGTAATATACAGCACTGCGTCTTGAAAACAGACCTTTGACAGGCAGCAGCAAAAGAGAACTTATGCTGCTCTTCTGATACACGTTATGGTTATTTAAAATTCTCTAATATGGAGGATGCCCTGGAGGAAACACATTGCCATCTCACTGCAAGTCTTTTTTCAGGGCCAGTAGAATGAAGTAATTTAGGAGATACAAACATAAAATCGTGCAGAATGGCTGAGTATGGCTGGAGATCCTCTAGTCAAAAGCTCCCTGCATAAGGCAGGGCCAGCTACAGGATGCTGCTCAGCTGTCCTGTCAGTTTTTGAACTTCCCCCAGGATAGAGACTCCACAACTTCTCTGAGCACACTCCTCCAGAGTTCAATCACCTCCACAGTTAAAAAAGATTTTTCTTGGAGTTTCTTGTACTTCAATTTGTGTCCATTTCCTCTTGTATTTTAATTAACTTGTTTTAAAACTCAAGGTAACCCAAATGTAGCCTTAGACTGCATGATACATTAGAAGTATCATATGTGAAACTCTGTTTTGAGACATGCCACAACCTGGACTACTAGTGCACTAGAAAATTTTGGTACTTGACCAAAGTTCGCATCATCAAGTCAAAACGACAACAAAAAGCATAAAACTAACACGACCCACTCATTTAAAGCCCTCTGGTTAAATTCAGCACGGTTCTGGTTGGCTCCTAAACCAGTCTGTAATTTAATGGAATTAACTGGGCCATGTTACTTGTGAAATAATGGAGCTACAGAAGAGGTTATATATAAAATCCATACCTCTACTATGTGGTAGTTCAAAGGGATCTTGTTATTTCCTGGATAGCTCAACAGTTGTGCAGCACTGCAAAACCATAGATACATTTAGCTCAGAACATAACACAGCCAGTGTCATGTAAAGATCAAATAACAAAGGTAGAGAAAATGCTTAATTCTGGGCAAGAGTTCATACAAACGCAGCACAAACAAATCAACAGTCTTTCCAAAGTCTGTCCATAGAACACTTAAACCAGAAACAGCACAAAAACACACCAGCACTGCCTAAACTAGATTTGTAATGATATATTTTATCCGTTCAGTTGCATCACTTGAACACTATACTGCAACACAAAATAGTTCTGCATCATCACAGTGATCTGCAGTTCTGGCAAGCATATATGAAGAGGAAAAAAAAGTCCCCAAACAACAGATGTTCAGAATGGTTTGATAGCACGATTAAGCTAATAGATTATATAAGAAACTCTCAGGCTTCAAATGCTTCATCTTTTAATCTACTCATTACCACCCACCATTATTACAACACAAACAACTGCTACTTCCTTTATTTTATTTCTACGTCTCTTCCAAGTCTTGTATCCCCCTCTAGTCTTTTACCTGCCCCTGAGAATTTACAAAGACTATCCTGGTAACTGCAAAAATTATGAATTTCTATTTTCTGCTGAATCAAACAGCTGCAAACAAACAAAAAAAAATTATCACATGCTATCACCCAAAACATTGTTGCTGACCATTTTTTGCAGAGCTTACCAAGTTCATTGGTTTTCATTTGGAAGCATGACACAGCCAACTACCTGTGGCAAACCACCTCAGCTATCAATTGCCCACATCAGAGACTGCTCAGGCAGAAATTAAGAAGTGTCCTGTTTCTTGGCAAAGCTGAATTCAAATTAATGAGATCTGCTGGTCCTGCAATGACTCCCCAGAGTGAGCTCAATTATCTCTGCCATGTAATCCTAAAGAGAAGAATGCAGCCAGGAGTAGGAAGCAGAGATGTTTTCAGGAACACCAGGGCACAGTCACCTGCAGAGGACCCAGCTCAGGGATCACTGTGCCCCAACAAATCAGCTGCTTCACAGCTCCAGGAAGCATAACACAACCACAGTCTTCACAGTGCTCCCATGAAGAATAAGGTGTGTCTGCATATTTTCCACAGCACATTGCGTATTATCAAGGAATTGCCTTCCCAGTGAGCCACTGTTGCCCTGGATCACAAACACACTCCATTTTCTGGACATTACAGACCCACAGTACTACAGGCAACAGTTTTAACACAGTTAAATATTGTAAATCAGGTTACATCAAATGCTCTAGGAAATGTTTAATCTTGAGCTCTTGTCTAACCGGTGCAGGACTCCGCATACCCCAAAGCCACATTAGCATAAAAAAGGCTCCAGGGCCCATAGTGCTAAGCTCTTCCTACCAAGTCTTTCTCTCCTTCCAGTGGGATTTGATGATGCAGTGAAGGTTCTCTTCTATTACAAATCGTTCAACAGAGTGGCTCCCAGGCATGACAGGGCCCTGGTAAGAAAGAATTAAGATTTGTGAAAGATCAGTGCTAATGCAATGGTATTACAGGTAGCAAGCTAACCTACAAACATTCACAGGTGGGGAAAAAAAAAAACACAATTGCCACAGAAACATAGTGAGGTCTCAGCTGCCCTGTGTCCTTCAGGATGGAGAAGCTGGGTGACACAGTTCCACACAAACCTCAGATAGATGATTAAAATGAAACGAAGACTAGGACTCATTACAAAAAGAAATGGGAACAAAATTAGAGAACATAAGTTCACAGAGCATCCATTTCTTCCTTTGCTCTGTGGAGCCATCAGACAGGCTACCACCATGCAGCCTGGAAAAAAAAGACAGTTGAGCTGGAACACATTGAAGAAATAAAGCCAGGAACGGCCAGGATAGAGTGGAAAGAATACACAGTCATGGTCTCCTTCACTGCAAAAATCAGGGGCCAATACATAAAGCTAAAAAGCAGCAGACTCAAAGCAGAGGGAGGTATAAAAACACTTTGGGAAAGTGGTATATATTCTTTTCCTATTCTTATATGCTTTTGTCTTCATATCTGCTGTTGACCAATGCTGGAGGCCGACTGTTTAGATAGATGGATCTTTCACCCACCCCTGTCATGCACTCCTTTGTTCTACAAAATGCATCAATAAATTTTAACAGATGAGTGAACAACAACCTTTAAACATTACAATACATATCTAGTCTGGAAGGATTCAAGTCACCAGCTTTAAGGAAGGAAAACCTAACTCTGTGAATGTAGATTTACTGGAGACGTTAGAAGATTTAATTAACATGGTCATTCTAAGTGAAAGCATCACAATATCTCACTTCCTAACTTCTGCCCCTCATAGATTTGCTTTGTATAGTATTGTCCTGGTTTGGGGTAGAGCAGAACT